GCACGACGCCGTCTTGTCGTTTCGCCCCTTGCCGCCTGCAACGGAGTCGGCGTCCTTCGCCGAAGTCGATGTCTTGGTCGACTGCTTCTCCTTGCGCGGTTGGTTGCCTCCATGACGTGGACGACGGCTGCCAGACCTCCCGCGGCTGCCCTTGTCGTCGTCGTCGGAGTCACTGCGGTCGGGACACTCAAAGGAGAGGTGATCGGGGCTGCGGCAGATCCAGCACTCCCGTCGTCGACCTCCTCCGCCTCGACCGCCGTCCTTGGCCGACTTCTTCTTGTCGACATCCTTGGCCGGCTTCCAGCCACTGCTACCACCACCGCCAGACTGCCCGCTCTGTCCCGGTCGGCCTCCTTGCTTCGCTGAGGTGACCAATTTCGCCTGCGCCAAGAGCTCCTGCGACCGCTCAGCCTCCTGCATCGCCTCGTCCTGCAGGATATACGAGGTCAGGTTGTCCTCGTTGAGCGTCGCCCTTGTGCTCAGCGCCATAGATAGCCGCTTCAGCAGGTTGTAGCTGCTAGAGAGACCCTGCATGACATGGGTGATATACGACGCCGTGGAGTACTGCGCTCCGGCCATCCTGATGGTGGCGAGAATTCGCCTGGCTCGGTTGCAGTAGTCGGTCGCACTCTCCTCGTCACCCATACGCAGGTGTGTCAGTTGTCCCTCCAGCTGGGCGATGAACAGGTCGTCGGTAACCTGGTACGTCGACTCGATGAAATGCCACGCCCGGTGGCCGGCGTCGAGGTACTCCCGGCACCACTTCAAGGCGATCTGCACGCCCGGCGAGCAGCACCGCGAGATGACCGTGAAGGTCAACAGCTGCACGGCGCGAAACTCCGCACGCAGGTCGGAGTGGTGCTCCCCCGGCGTCGCCACGGTCCCTCGGGCGAAGCCAATCAGCCCGGCCATCTCCAGCTGGGGCTCGATGGCTTCCTTCCAGGTGAGAATGTCGGGTCGACCGACCAGCGGAGGGGTGACCGAGATCCTGTCCGGCGTAAACTTGAAGTAGCCGTAGCTCGGTGCAATCCCACCTGCCGTCACCTGGGACGCCGACATAGGCGACAGCCCACTTCGACGCCCACCAGCGTTGCCATGCGAGGAGCCTGCAGCCGCCGACGACTGCATCCCTCGCGCCTGAACGCCGCCGACTTCACCGGCGTGTATCACACCTCTCTGTTTCGACGTGCCTCCAGCACTGCTGCCGACTTGACCACCACCGGCGTTGACGCCCACGTCGACGCCGCCTTCGTTGTTCACCGGACGAGGAGAGGCAGGTCGAGACGGGTGCTCCGTCGCCCACATGGAGCGGAGTCCAGCCTCGACGACCGGCCAGGACAAGTCGCCATACTCGTTGGCCTCGTGCTTCCTCCTCGCGTTCTCCAACCGTGCCTCTAGGGTGTCCACCACCCCCGCGTCACCTACGGCTCCTACCATAGTGACTACCGCACAGTTGCCGGCCTGCAACTACGAAATAGGTAAGTGGTGTCCACGTCGACCTGACTAAAAGGTAAGTCGTGTGCCGTCCACGCTCACCGCACCATGCGGAGATAACTGCAGCAACGGGAGCTAGGCTACGGGCTAGGCACGTGTGCTCGTGTGATCTCTGCGTTCTCTGTTCCTTAGTCGTTTTCCTTGTGCACACACTACTTGCTAGTTCACGGGGAAAATTGGCAAGAGTTTCACTAGGAAAAGTTCAGAACAATGGTACAATCAAGTTGGCAATGCAAGACTACATCAGGGCTAGCATTCAGGTCGGCCAACTGCCAGCGCAGCTTGGTCGACCGCGTTCCAGCACGGCTTGGTCGACCGAACTCCAGCAAGGCAAGGTCGACGGCGTGCCAGCGTTGCTCACGCAGGACAGCAGTGCACCCGCTTCGCAGGTGTGCGTAGCCGATTGGCGTGCAGAGTCCCGTCACCTGCACAGCGCACACTCCACGTCAACCTTGAGCTGACGACTGCCTCTGGCCCGCCACGACGACCTCGGGATACCACCACTGAGGTCGTGCTTGCCAACTTCGCCTGGGCGACCGTCGCACTCCTTCGCAGCACTTCGTCACCCAGGTAACCTGGTCGACCAGGCTGCCACGTCGACCAGCAGCTCCCGTACGTGCCCGTCGACCTCCCAAGTCGACGACCACCTCCACGTCGACCTCACTAGGTCGACGACACCATCGGTCGACCTCCTCCAGGTCGACATCCCCTCTGGTCGACCAGCTCCACGTCGACCAGCACTCCTGGTCGACCTGCTCCTCGTCGACCAGCACAGTCGTCGGCCGACCACCCACGTCGGCCACCCGACGCTGGCGTCACAAAGTTGATTCCCAGCTACTCGATGCCCAACTGCTCGGCGTCCTGAGTCGAGGTCGACGTCGGCCCCTCCTTCGTCGACCACCAGGTCCAGTCGACCACTAACAGGTCGACTAGCAGTCCGTTAGCCGATTGCCGAAGTCGGCTTCAACGTCCTCTGCAGGTCGACTCCCAAGTCGGCGCCACCCTAAAGTTGGCGCCCGTGCAGTGATCCCCCGTGCAGGTCGACCTCCTCGTCGACCAGCTCACCCACTGCTGCAGGTCGGCTGCTCCCCTCACACCCGACCATACAGTCGGCTCCGCCTAAGCGAGGACGGGGCCAACACCCAACTCCCGTTGACATTGAGACTGCTGCTCTAGGTGCTGGTGAGGCTGCTGCTCTAGGTGCTAGCGCGTCTGCTGCCCCAGGTGCTGGTGAGTCTGCCCTCTCAGGTGCCACGTCGGCTCAGGCCTTACACACCTTCACCCTTGACTCGGGTGCTTCCCGCTCCTTCTTTCGAGACCGCACCACACTTACGCTGCTTAGTCAGCCGGTTGCGGTCTCCCTGGCGGACCCCTCTGGGGGTCCTGTCCTTGCTCGCTTCTCCGCTGTCTTACTGTGTCCGGCAGCCCCCTCTAGCACCCTGTCAGGTCTCTACCTCCCCTCGTTCTCTACGAACTTGGTAAGTGGAGTTGATCTAAAGGATAGGGGGGTTTGACCAGTTCACTCCTACGAGTCAGCGGGTGACCCACTGCACGTGTGCTCGGACAGGCCAACACTTGGCCACATTCACTCGTCGGCCGGGGTGGAGCCTGTACACCCTCACTACTGAGTCTCCTCCGGCTACTGAGCCTAGTCAGGTCGCTGCGTCGAGTCAGGTGTTTGCTGCAGCGTCCAGGTCTAGTCCTGAGTCTGCTCCCTGCTCGTGTCGTCTCCTGTCTCACCAGACTCTCCTTCGGCACCACCGCCTTGGTCACCCCTCCCTGCCTCGTCTCTGAGGCATGGCCTCCCGTGTCCTTGTCTCTGGTCTCCCCCGGTCCCGGACAAGTTTTGTTCAGTGACATGGTAAGCTTTATTGCTGTGTTTGTTTAGTGAGTTTAACTTTTGGGTGTAACCTATGGCGTGCTGCCCACTGATTCTTCGTAACTCTCGCACCAGTTGGAACGAGTGGTTTATCATTCTTTCTCGCTGGCGCGTTCTCTGCCCTGCTCCTTGTACCACCCGTTTCCCCACACGCTGGCCCCATCCCTCTCCGCGTCCATCCAGTTCTCTTGATTCACCCCCATCTAGTGATAGTTGTCGTTTTCACAATGTGCCTTATCGGCATGCTGTTGCTGCGTCAACACCAGCCCAATACCGCACCCGTCACCCCCTCTCCCTCTCCTCTCCTCCCTATCAGGGGGCTAGTGGTTCTCGTTTTCACTTCCGTGCCTGGAACGACGTGCCTCATCGGCGCGCTGCTGCTGCCGTCAAACAATTTTCTCGCGCTCCTCGCTGTGTGGCTCGTTATAGAGTCGGTGTTTTTCGTGTTTCGTTCTAAGCAACTAAAGCAAATCAGAGACGAGTATGTGGAGCTCTCGCTCCCATCGCGCGAGGAGACTTCGACGCTCCTTGACCGGGTTCTCGCCGTTGCGTAAGTCAATGCAGTTGCATAATGCAACCCCTTTCGTTTGCACCTCATTAGTCAGCTGGCTCAAGCCGCCAAACTGTCTCATCCTTCTCGACCGAGTCCTGGCCGTCGCATAAGTCAACGCCGTCGCACAAGTCAGCGCGTTGTTGCATTACGTCGGGGCTCTTCCGCACGGCCACTACATTCTCTCCGCCTAATTATCCCCACCTCTCATTTCCCTCCCATTATCCTTCTTCTCTGTCTGGACCTGACCCTTCCCTCCCTCGCATTATCAGGAAGCTAGCGGATTATAACGATTTTGTGGGGGGCTAGTTCATGGGTGCGTCTCTCGCGTCTCTAACGCGTACAAACGTTCGGCAATTCATCTCGCACGGCTTCTTTCACCGCTTCTACAACGAACTTTCGAGCGAATACCAAGAAGCAGTTGAAGGTAACAAAGCGTCTCTAACACGTACAAACATCACGTTGTCCCGTCTCATCCCGACTCCTCGTCGCTCCCCCTCTCTTTGAAGTTCCTACCATCCGCGTCAGGCAGTCGCCTCAAAACGTCTATTGAGTCAACGCTAGTCAAGGCACGTCAACTCAAGTACCCTGTCCTTCCCCCATTGTCCTTTCTCTCCAGAACTTGTTGACAGAGCCGAGGTGCACCTAGAAACGCACTTTAAAGACCCCGACGCGCCGCCTCCGCCTCCCCCGGACCTGCTGTCCTTCGGTTCCGACAGCGAAGGGGAGAGCGAGGCTAGGGAGGAGGAGAGGGGGGAAGGCGAAAGAGCGGAAGGGGACGAGAGGGGGGAGAGCGAGAGTGAGAGCGAAGCGGCAGCAAGACCAAGGCTTACCGCCATCGACGCCGCTGTCGGCGCTGTCGGCAGCTCCGCGATCTGCGGCCCGTTGGAAGCGGCGGCAATCGCGGCGTCCTCGAGGAGCCTCGGGAGGAATTGGAGCAACGTGCAACTTCCGCGAACGAGCGGGAGCAGCGATTGCGGAAATGGGGAAGAGGAAGAGGCGGAGAGCGGAAGCGGAGGGCGAGAGAAGGGGGGGGATGAGGCGGGATTTGAGTCGAGCGGAAGGAGGACTGAGGGGATGGGGGAGAGGCGGAAGAAGGAGAAGGGGGTAGACGAGTCGGTGCGCTTCATGGCGCACACGCGCGAGCCCCTCCGCGCCATCATCCACCCACTCGCCTTCTACGTCTGGTGCGCCCCCTTTCCCTCCAAATCTCCCCCTCTCCCCCCCCTTTCTCTCCCCCCATCCATTCCACTGCCTCCCTCCCCACATCTTCCCTCCCCTCCCTCTCCCGTTCTCTGCTTCACCACGTGCTATCTCCCCCCAACGCCCGCTCATCTCCCCCTATCCGCGTGGTTCTTCAGGGGCCATATCGTCGGGCTCCTCACCGCCGTCGCCATGCGCTTTTGAAGCACCTAAAGTAACCACTCTCTCCCCATCTCCCCCTCTCCGCCTATCTCCTGTCCGCATGGCTCTTCAGGGGCCATATTGTCGGGTTTCTCACTGCAGCCGCCATGCGCCTCCTCGGCTTCTCCAAGTACGTGCCCCTCTTGACTCCTGTTGACCTCCATTGACCTTTGCTGACCTCCACTGACCTCCATTGACCTTTGTTGACCGCCGTTGACAGCCATTGACCTCTGCTGACTGCCGTTGACCTTCGTTGACCTTTCTCATGGCCTCTGTTGACCCCGGTTGACTCACCTTGACCCCCCCCCCCCCCCCCTTTCTCCGTTCACTTGCATTGACCAGGCACACCGCGCCCAACGGCATTCATTACAGGTTCCGCGCTCCCAAAAAATCGGCTCCAAAGGTGTGCTCTCGGTGCTGACGTGGACATCCAATCAACTATCGCTCCTTATCCCATCCACATTCCATGCGTTTTCCTGCTGACCCTTTTCCCCGAGGCCTGCTTCCCCTATTGCATTGTACTTGTTTCCAAACTCCTTTCTCCTCCATCCCTCACTCTTTCCCCCATTCCCCATATCCCACCATTTTCGCCCCCCACTTACTGTCGGCCCTCCCCTATGCCCCCTAACCCATCTCCACCACTCCCCCATCCCCTCTCTCCCCTCCCCCATCCGCCTTCCCCCTTTGCCCCCCGCTTCCCCTGCTCGCAGCGAAAGACCCACAAGGCAGCAGCGGTGATGCCGATTTTTGACGACACGTCAGCAGCAGGCGCCACGTCAGCCGCATTGACCGCACCGCTGCTTGGCGCGAGGGGCGGGCGCGTAACAAGGGAGGAGGAGGCGGAGGAGGGGGTGGTGCTGGTGCACAGGCTGGGGCTCACGCCCTACCTATCGTTCTTGCACATGCTCTCGAGAAGCTACTCCATCAAGGTAACTCGTCAACACATGGTTGCGTGAGAAGGGAAGGGGAGGGGTGGTAGAAAGGGAGGAGTGGGTGGTGCTGGTGCACGGGCTGGGGCTCTCGAGAAGCTACCCGAAAAAGGTAAATAATCTCGTTGGAAGTGGTGCCAATTACCCCTAACGTTGCGTTATATACTTCTCCTATGAACCCTAGCAGTCAGTGGCAAGTGTCGCCACTTTTATTTCCTCCCACTTTCTCCCTTAAAGATTGTTCTTTATTCATTGATTGTCCATTCATTAACTCTGGATGTTCTTGTTCAGAAGCTCATCGTGGTGGAGCTGGCACACCTGGCAGTGCGCCTGTCCACGTCATCACCTACGATAGATGACGTGGCAGACGGGCTAACCGACGCGATGGCGGTCCACGGCATGCAATCGGCCATCTTCGTGGGGCACTTGTACGGCGCCCTGGTGCTTGCTCGGGTACGTTTCTACAGTACGGATACATTGCATATAAATACGTGTACAGGGTTGCACATGTATTATTTAATAATTCCAGCAGTTCCGTGTGAGAAGCGTTGTTCTATCATTAATCGCTCTTCCTTCCCTGGGCCACACCCACCCCTCCCTTCCCCTCTCCGCCTCTCCCCCATCTTCCCCCTCTCCCCCCTCTCCCTCCTCTCCCCCACCTCCCCCTCCCCCCACCCCCCAGCAAGTGCGCAAGCGCCCTGAGGCAGTCAGCGCCATGGGCTTTGTTGATCCCGCATGCATCCTGCTCTGCCTCCCTAAAGTGCTCTTCAATTTTATCTATAAGTAAGTTAATCTCCTGTATACGACTTTAAGTTTGGCTCCTGCTGCGTATGCATATGTCCTTTATTGCTTGCCTCTTCCCGCCTCCTCTCCCCTCTCCCATGTTATGCTCGTTTCTTTCTTTCCTATTTTCCTCTCTTCCCGCGCTCCCTCCTCGCTCGTTTCTCACCCCATTTCTCCCCCCTTCCCGATTCCCCTGCAGGGTCCCCGGCTCCCCCTCAATAGGCGATACGATGGCAGAGGCCGTGAGGTGGTTCCTGTGCGGGAGGGAGCTGCAGGTGGCACGTGCTCTCTGCCGCGGCTTTAACTGGTGAGTCTCACCCGGGGTAGGTGGTATTCGCATCATCTGGTGCAGGTGGCACGTGCTCTCTGCCGCGGCTTTAACTGGTGAGCCTCGCTGTCTGCCTTCTCTGCATTAGGTGTCTCCTGGGGAAGGTAGTATCTGAAATAATTGGTGCACGTGGCACATGCTCTCTGCTGTGGCTTCCAACTGGTGAGTCTCACCTAGGATAGGTGGTAGCAGGAGGAGGAGCAGCGGGGCAGGGAGCAATGGGCCGAGCAGAGGGGGGAAGGCGCGGGAGGGGGGCAACAGTGAGGAGACCCTGCCGATGCTGCTGCAACTGCCGCAGCACCGGCAGGGCCTCCTCACTGTTGCGGTGATGGAATGGCACTGGTGGGCGTTCATAGTGTGTTGTGTTGTGACTGAGGGGTGACTAACGCCTGTTGAAGAGCAGGCAGCGCCGCCTGTGCTGATGCGCTAAAGAGGTGGGATGGTTGACCAGCTGGAGTGGAAGAGTTGAAAGACTTGGTGGTTCAGATAGCAGCTGCATGATGCGTGCACGCACACACGCTGTGATGGTTCAGATGACACCACCATAACTCTTCCACTCCAGTAGCTGTCGGGTGCACGCACACAAGCTGTGATGGCACCAGTGGAGCTTTGGTGTGCTGTAGCTCTCATAGCGGGTAACGGGGATTGCCTTGTGGTGGCTCACGCCTCAAAAGCCAAGGCTAGCCGTGTAGCAGCAGCTGCTGCATGCGTGTTGGATGGTATCAGCGCACAGGTGGGGCGTTGATAGGGTCCTCCTCTTGTGGCGCCTACTGCTAGATGCATGCATGGTCGTTTGAGAGGAAGCCTTAGCGAGGCAGAACGGATTGCATTGATGGAGTGGCAAGGGGGGCAGTCGTGGGTGAGAGGGGAGGCGGTGAGGTGGGCAGTGGAGGAAAGGAGATGGGTACTGCCCTGGTAGCTGCTGGACTGCCTCCAAGTCACCCGGCAAGGCAGGCCTGACAGGTGGCAGCATCACAGCCCGGATGAGGGGTTGGATGGCAGAGGCATCGCTGCTTGCCTTGACAGAGGCGGCAAAACAACAGTGATAGACAGGAGAGCAGCAGCGGTGGTGGCGGGGGTGGCAGCCGCAGCACCGGCACCAGCAGCAGTGGCAGCGGCAGCGGCAGTGGCAATGGAGGAGTGAGCATGGGTGCGGTGCTATCTTTGTTCAAGAGGAGTACCAGTCCTTTCAACAATTCAAGAAGAGGAGGAATGAGGTGATATGGCGGAATGCGGCTACGGGCGGCAGTAGGGCAGGGCGCGCGACGGCGCTGGTGAGGTAGTCACGAAGTGCGCTTCGGGTAGGGCAGGAAAAAAGTTTATCGTGGTGGGCCCTAAAAAAAACGTTCCCACTAGGGAACCTGCTCTGATACCATGTCAGAATTAGGAACGAAGAATGACTAGAAACACAGTAGTACAAGGTTTGTATATGCAAAACCTAATTGGGTTGTACCCCTTAAGGAGTGCCCCACTACAGCCTAGAGCATAGTTCTGACACCTGCATCAGTACAGCTCTGACTGCCTTGTCACTAGCGTCTGTTTCCACCACGTAATCTCTGTCTGGATCCGGTAGGATGAGTACTGGTGCTGTGGTCAGTCCTGTCTGTAGCTACTCCATGGCTTGTTGTTGAGTAGTATCTCATTTATAGGGCGAATCTTATTTTCAATAAGTTTGTCAGTGGCGCTACTATTTTAGCGTACTGTGGCACGAACATATTATGCTATTTGGTGAAGCCTAGGAATTGCTGCAACTCCATCACATTCTCATGATCTTCCACTTCTTGATGACTTCTTCTTCCGCAGGTCCACTTGTACGCCCTCCGCACTCACCACATGCACGAGAAATTGCACCTTCTTCAGGGCAAAGTTGTTGTTTGACAGCTTCTCGTATTTTTTTTTTTCCAGGAATTTGAAAACCTTCTGCAAATGCTCCATGTCCTTCTTCATGTTCTTGGAGTAGTTGAGGATATTGTCCAGATACACTACTATGCACTCGTCGAGCAAGGGCCATAGGATGTGGTTCATCTCTCCCTGGAACGTTGCTGTTGCATTGCAGAGTCCGAACGACATCAATAAGTACTTAAAGGAGCCATATCTAGTACGAAACGCCGTCTTGTGGTGGATCGATTTGTCTGCCATCTTGATATGCCAGTAGCCCGACCGTAGGTCCAGCTTCGAAAACACCGTTGCACGATGCAGTTGATCTGGAAGATTGTGTATGTGCGGAATGGTGTATTTCTTTTGTTTTTCAGTGTTTGGTAGTCGATGCACATCCATAAACTATCGTCCGGCTTTAGAGTGAAGAGAGTTGGTGCGCCATAGGGAGAGGTGGATGGGCGGATTAGTTGTGTCCAATAGGTATTCAATCTGTTTCTTTATGTCTGTCAATTCGGTCGGACTAAGGTGGTATGGTGCACGGGAGACGGGTTTCGAACCTGGATCCTCCACGACTAGTATTCGTGTGTTCGTGCTTGAGGCACTCTTGCAGGCAGGTTATCCGGCATGATGTTATTGTATTCCCTTAACACCTCATGTACTGTTGCAAGTAGCTCCGAGTTCGGCTTCTCCTATGCTGCTGCCATCACCAGTGCTAAGTAATCCGTCTTACTCTCGTTCACCGTCCGTTCGAACTGTGAAAGTGTCGTTTTAGGAACATCTTTTGTATATGTCCCGCTTCGCAGCTCCACATGTATCTTGTTGTTGTAGATGCTCATCTTTTAATTGACCCAATCCATCTCGGGGTTGAAGCCAGGCCCCTAGATTCGTTTTGAGCTAGTCTGAGGCCTCAGAGTACACCCCTCTTCCTAGTCTGGCTGTCAGAGTTGACCAAATTTTAAAGTCTGAAAGTCCAGACTCCACAAACTTTTCAACGCTGATGTCACAGACTAGCACTCAAATTTTACTCTTGTTTGAGAACACAGCCAACTAACAATTGTTACACTACATGTCTGCATTAGTCTGTCATAGAATCTACAAGATCACATTCCACTACTGGCTCATCTACATGCTCCTTCCAAGCCCTTGGGGGCTCTTCCCTGTGCCTTGATGCAGGTGCTGTGAACGGCCGGCGCTTCTTGTAAGCACGCCAAATCTCGACTACTCCTGGGACGTCTAACTCATAGTCTAGCAGTGAGATGCAAAGCAGATCGCTCAGCCTACAATCCTGGATGCTGCCCTTCTGCCACGTCTTGATCAGGTTTTGTCGGGAAAAGCCTCGCTCACACTCGACCGTGCTGAGAGGCAGCACTGCAATCGCCACCCAGAGTCCGACGAGGTTGGGGTACGCTTGCTGCCAAACGGGTGTCCTGAGAATGGCGGTAAGTCCCGTGTGGAACTTACGCTCACTCTTCGGCGCTCTGGCAAGAACTGGACACAGCGTGCGAAGCTCCCTCATGGCCTTCTTCTTGTCAATGCCTGCAAGGTATAAGAGGCGACGGTTAGTATAAAGGCCGTGAGAGAGGGGGAACCGGGTGGCACTTCAAACTAACCTGGTAGGATCTCGTCGGCTTCATCTGCGCGGAACAACGTGACAAGCGACAAGAGCCACTCCAGGCACTTTGCCTGCCGCGCGTCCCGGTCCCATTGCAGTTGCCACAAGTCAGGGATAAACAGCCTCACTCCAGAAAGAGACTCAAGGTCACCAAGCTTGGACTGGAGGTTCTCGACGACATGCTCGGCCATGTCGGTGCAGAGCGCCACGCACGCGTCGTGGTGGCCGGGCCCACGATAGTTCGGGTTGGTGCGCTCGTGAAGCGTCACCTTGAAGCGGTTGAGACTGCCATCGGATGAAGCTCCCTTGATCACCATTTCTGGTGAACCACGCGGTCCGTGCTTCTCAATGAAGCGGTACAGCCTCTCGGTTTGCCCTCCCCCGAAGTCGTCACCACAGTCGACGTAACGGCTCTCCAAGATTGATGTCGTGCGCACAAGCTGCGTGTGCACCTGCGCGTAGTCGAGCTGCAACAAACTCATTAAAAACAAAATAGTACAAAGCGGATGACCAACAAACACATTCAAATTAGTACCAAAACATGCAACACGTAGTAGGCAACTTAGTAGGCAACTTACCTCCCGCTTCTGGAAAACGGAGGAGAGCACGTTGAGCTGCTACAGTAGGTCCGCGAGGAACCTGATGAGGAACTGGAACCTGTACGACGCGACGATTTCGTACATGGTCTGGTCCTTCCACTCCGACAGCATCACCATGATCGCTGGAAGGACGTGGACGAACCGGGTGACTGCAGCTCCTCGTGAAAGCCACCGCACGCCATGTATGCCTTGGGCCTCGAGGTTGGTGGAGGTGAACACATCCTGCAGCTCCATGAAGCGCTGGTGACGATCGCCCGAGGTACTCTGCGACGGCGCGGATGACATCGTCCACCATGTTGAACGTTGGTATCTCCTCTGCCGCGGCCTTGGCAGCCAACGCCTCCCTGCCAAACAGAAACACACAAATGGGTTGGTGATTGTTAAAACAAACAAAGGGTTAAACAATACAGAGTGTGACACATTGAAACACAAACGCACCTGTGCGCGATGCAGTGAAACGAGACCAGATTGGGGATGAGCATTCGCAGGCGAGCAACCACACCGTTTTGACTCCCCACCATCACAGACGCGCCATCAGTGCTCATTCCCGAGATACGCCGCAGGTCAACGCCGACAGCCCTGAGGTGGGAAACCAACAAACTGCGCAAAGAAGCAGCGTCAGCCTTCTCAACAGTCAAGTGGGCGATAAACTCCGTGAGAACCTGTCCCTCGCGGAGAAAGGTGGCAAACACAATCATGTGTTTGCCGCGGCAACGGTCGGTGCTCTCGTCCAGTGTAATCCCGATGATTGGGCTCGTCAGAAAGTGCTCAAGTTGCGTTGTTTGGAGCCACGTCGCAATTGCTTGGGTGAGTTCTCCAAATCCGTACCTACACAAAGAAAACGTAGTCGTTAGTGACAGTCAAACAGAATCAAAACCTACAGGCATGCTACAGACACTACTTACGTGTTGTAGTACGTGCCGTAGCCCTCCGCGGGAAACTCGGGCACTTTCTTCTTCGCCAGGTAGCGCACCAACCAGATCCACGAGTCCATGGGCTTGTTGGACTTCCCCATGAAGTACAGCAAGTCCACGAGCGAAGACACCTGCAGCATCTCCAAGTCCTGCGCCTTCGGGTGCATGTCGATGCGCTGCTGGCGCCCGTATTTCTGGAACAAGTCCTCCTGGCGCTGCAGAGCAAACCGGTGCTTCACCGTCCCTTCGTGCTTCTTAAAGGACTGTGTCTGCACGTCGGCTGCTCCCTCGGTATGATGCCCACACTTGCCATTCAGTCCTGAAAATTCCAAGCAAATACTGCACTTGAAAGAAGGAGCACCAGTGGAGGTTTGAGTTA